GAATACCATGGACCAGGCAGTCTACAACTGTTCTGGAGGCCGAGAAGACCAAATGCTGGTGGATTTATTCCCTGGTGAAGGCCATCCTTCCAGTGTAACCTCTTCAGGATAGAAGTGGGGAAGGGCTCTCCAATGGCACTTAGAAATATTCCTCTGTGTGTGTGTGGATATATATATATGTGTGTGTGTGTGTGTGTGTGTGTGTGTGTCTGTGTGTCTGTGTGTGTGTCTGTGTTAGTCGGCACGCTGCTTGGAACAGACAACACCAGACTAAACTGTTCCCAAAGGGGAGGGAGTTTATTCAGGGCAGAGGGCAAAGGTAGTGAGAGAAACAGGAGAAGATGGTGGAGAAAGAGGAGAGAGAGAGGAGAGAAGTGGAGGCCGGCCATGATCGTGTGGAGAGAGGGGGAAGGGAAGGGGGAAAGAGCAAGGGAACAGAGAGAGAGAAGCTAGAGGCAAGAGAGTAAGAGAGTAAGAGAGAGAGGAGGAGGCAAGCAGCCCCTTTTTATAGTGGGCACGCCTACTTGGCTGCTGCCAGGTAACTGTGGGGAGGAGCATACCTGGGTGTTGCCAGATAACTGTGGAGGTGGAGTTTAGACAGAATGCTAACAGTCTGTGCCTGTGTGTTTGTGTCTGTATGTGTGTCTGTGTGTGTCTGTGTCTATCTGTGTGTATGTGTGTGTGTGTGTTTTGTGTCTGTGTGTATCTGTATATGTGTGTGTGTCTCTCTGTGTGTGTATCTGTGTATGTGTCTGTGTGTTTGTGACTGTGTGTGTTATCTGTCTGTGTCTGTGTGTTTGTGTCTATCTGTATGTATGTGTGTGTTTGTGTCTATGTCTGTGTGTCTGTGTGTGTGTCTTTGTGTATGTGTCTATGTATATGTCTATGTGTCTGTGTGTTCGTGTCTGTGTGTGTCTGTCTGTGTCTATGTGTCTGTGTCTATCTGTGTGTATGTGTGTGTGTTTGTGTCTGTGTGTGTGTGTCTGTGTGTATGTCTGTGTCTATCTGTGTGTATGTGTGTATGTGTTTGTGTCTGTGTCTGTCTGTGTCTGTCCGTGTGTCTGTGTGTATGTCTGTATGTGTGTCTTTGTGTATGTGTGTGTGTCTGTGTATGTGTCTGTGTGTCGGTGTTTGTGTCTGTGTCTATCTGTGTGTCTGTGTGTGTCTGTGTCTGTGTGTTTGTGTCTGTGTCTGTCTGTGTGT